GCATCACTTCCAGGACAGAACATTTACTTTCTGGTGCAAGATCCTTTGGCCCTGGTCTTGTCCTCCATGGTAACTCTGAGGTGTTCTCTTAAGACAGAGAATCATAAAATCACCATTTCAGAGCAACTACATTGTACAGCCCATATAGACCCTCCATAGATACATTGTGTAAAATGTCTGTTATCTTAAGCTACAGAGAGTTTACGTATGTTCATTATCACAAAATAACCTAGAGAGTATCCCAACCCAAATCTTGACTTGCATATTATACTCCTTGTAAAAAGGTATTTTTTGTCAGCCTTGTTGTTGTCATCATTGTTGTTTTATCCAAATAAGCAAATCATGACCATACAAATCTTTCAAGAAAGAGCTCTGGACTATGAGACAGGAGACCTATGAAATGTGATATTTAGTTCTGGATTTTCTGTCAACTAACTATAAGATCTTGGGTTAGTCACACCCTGCAAGTCCTAACTTTTCTGACTAACAAAATAAAGAGTTAGCATTTCCCCCGATGTTGGACATGTACATTCAGTGGAAATTTGAATCCTTGCTAGTAAGAGTGTTCCCAAGAACCAGTAGCACCAGCATCATTGAGATCATATGAGAAATGCAAGTCTTTGGGTTTCACCCCAAACTTACTGAATCTATTTCTGCATTCTTAACAAGATTCTCCAAATGATTCCTATGCACATTAAAGCTAGAGAAATATTGATTTAAATGGTAGTTACACATGACAGTAAGTGACCTATAATCAAAGAGTGAGAAGTCGTCTTTCAATCTTTCTGATTACTTTATAAATAAAGTCTCAGTTTGATGCCACTGTCTTTAACGCCTCGCTACTAGCTGCTAATTTCCCTTTTAACAAGGCAAAAACAAACTTTAGGTTCTTGAGATGACAAAAGTATTTAGCTTGACTATAATAGCACTGTTTCATCTCATTGTGTTTAAATGGTTGCCTTGTATTTATGGAAAGTAATGCCAGTTTTCTATTTAAGGTATGATAGAAACCTCTATAGAATAAATTAATTTAGAAAAGTGAATGTGTTTAAAGAAAATACATAATAAATGGGAAGAAATGTTCATTTTAATATTTTCTTTTTTTTTTCGTATTAAATTCTTTTATTGGTACATTGTAGGTATACAACACAATTACATTTCTCATTGGGAATTGTACCTTTATATAATGCATCTTGGTTCTTATTTTTTCCCCATTCCTAGCCCTCCCTTCACGCCCTCCACCCTTCCCTATTTACAAAGACTTTATTTCCATTTTTTCCATTCCTCATCATTTTTTCCTTTCCCTTCTTTCCTTTCCCCTGTGCATTTTAATATTTTCTTTCATGTCAGGTAACTCCATTGGTCTGACATTCCTAACCTCTGACTTCTCACACAGCACTGCTCATTAAGCAACTTTATTTCCTCGACATGGGGTAGGCATGGGGAGAGTGCCATATCTGTTTATAAACTGAGGAATGAAATGGGCATGCTTGGGTCAGCAATCCCTTCCTCTTCATAGAATTTAGATTTCCAGAAGAAAATTTATTCATGGATAAATATTAAATTTCCAGTCCAATTGGTAGGATCTTAACAGCAAGTTGTTTGTTTAACATATCTTTAACGTGTGCCTATGAAATGCTAAATTCCGGCTATACACCTTCTTTTTTGTCCTGCTGCCTGGAAGTACTACTACTTTGGAGGGCTCTAGACCATCTCTGTCTGGCCAGGCAGCCTCTTCAATGCCCAGCTTTTGAATCTGCTCAGAGGCAAGAGTCAGGGGCACTGATGAACTTGGAGTCCTTCTGGAAGAAAGCATCAGGTAGTCATCATCGTGAATCATTAGATAAAAATGGGCTATTCTTTTTAAGGCATCTGGCCAATTCCCTCATGGCCTAATCACCATCCACCTGAGGAGACTAATCATAAGGGATTTTAGTGATTTCTCTCATATTGAACAGTTTTGGCAAAAGGCTCTAAGTGAAAGCACCCTGCCACTTCTTTGGAGAGTAATAGATTTGTGTCACTAAACTAACTAAAGGGATGCCCTTTTACTTCTTACTATATTGCTCTTTCATTTTCATTGTGGTACTTATCTCCATTGCTTTGTTTATTTGTTTGTTTACTTTGTTCACTGACGCCCTCCCCTAGACTGCAAACTCATTACCTTTTGCAGTGGCTTCTGCATTGTTCGTGGATGTATTCTGAGGATCTATAATATATTGAATAAATCAATCAATACTTTCATTTTCCACTTACTGGCAAAAGAAAACTAGGGTGTACCTTTCAAGAGCTAATTATCAGTCATTCTATAATATCGTTATTTAACTTTGAAACTGAAATATGTCCCAATTATTGCTGCTGTATGTGGCTTTAATGCTTGACTATACTTTTGTCTACTGAATTTATATTCATTGGTTTATTAATGTGCTACCTATACCATGAAAGTGTTTTCAGTGGCTTATGATAAAGTTAACACTCAGCAGGCAAAAGATAAGAGCTTGTAAAGAAGATAGGACCCAAGAGAAATCTTACCAAGAAATCTTGTTAGGGAGTAACATTGTATCACAATCTATGCAAGATCTAAGCTTCTTTTTCTGCCCTTTGCTGGGTAAAGTTGACTTGGATATTTAAAACTGGTTTGAAAAAGTTATTCAGAGTCCTAGAGCAATTTCTGATGAAACTGTCTTAAAGCACTATAGCCTTTGACTTTGAGATATTGTACATTTTCCAACTTTCAGAGACACATTGACTTTTTAGTAGCTGGCTGTTTTGGAACAAATCCCATCTTCCCATCTCCTTGCCCCCGTAATGCATCTGAACTAGAATGGACTCGGGGTTTACTTCAGTTCATAATATTAATAACTTATATTTGTTTTCTCATTACCTTTTATAGTGATTTCTCATGCATTACCCCATTTGAACATCAGTTATCTTACAGAGAAGGAAGATAGAGATTTTTCCATTTTTAAAGATAAGACTCTAAGTGATTTGCCAAACATTGTTAAAGTAATTGGCAGAGCCTGCACTAACATACCAAATTTATGATTCTTTAACTTTATCTTTTTTCTGCAATGTTTTACAACTTTTTAAGGATTCCAGGAGATCTGATATGCTCTGCAGGAGTACTCAGAAGTTTAAATTAAGGAGATATCTCAATAATTCACACTTGGATGCTGGTTCAAGGTACTAATGAGCTTGAACTAAGTGAGCTTAGCAAGACTGTTCAGGCCATAATTTTTCACCTTTCTGAGAAAAACCCAAGACCCATGGGGTCCAGGGAAGACCCACGACCTAGAGCTAGATTTATACTGATCTACCTTAAGAAGAGGTTATTAGCCAGCATTCTTTCCAAACACAAGTTAATTGACTTTGTCTCTAAAAGCAGAGAGTTATATTTCATTAGTCCCATATATTTTAGGGGCTTGGGCAAAGATGTAAGAATTCATGTAAATAACTACCATCCAAATCAACAGACTCAATGCATGTTAAATAATCCATTCACTGATGAGGTCAATCACGGTTGAATTGGTCCTATCTAGTCCATATCCTTTGAGACACAGCATACCTCTATGACACTCACTGTAAGGAATCAATGTAAAATATAACCCTTGTGTCTCTCCTGTCCCCTTTTAGACTGGTTATCTGTCTATCTTGATCAGAGAAAGCTCCTTCCATGTTTAAAAAAGATATCTTCATTTTATTGATACAGCAAATTCTTTTTATTTTCTGAAATTTATTTTAACAGAAACAGGGGAAGAAGAACCCTCATTTATTAATCTCCAAATATGTGTCTAGAATTAGGTTCAGCAATTCAAGAGCATGATGATTTCTAATTCTCATAACAGTCCTGTGAGGTGGTTATTTCACGGATGAGAGAAGAAAGGTCAGGCAGACTGAAATTGCAGGTGGGTCTCCAAATCTCAAACCCATGGTCCTTACACACATTAGATGGTGTGAACCCCAAGATAAACTAGCCTACTTGAGCTCTGGATCTTTTCTCTTTGGGAGTAGAGGAGAAATCAACCTTCCCACCCTTTCTTTGCCGTAGTGCCAGGTGAGTGGAAGAAGTTTAAGAGCAGTTACTCGGCCAAGGAAGGGGGAAGTTTTCAGAGGGCAGGAAGCAGGCCTTAGTGGCTGAGACCAGCAGGGACAGAGCTGAGGACGGATGCCTTCCTAACCCACGGACACTGCAGAGTCCTGCCCTGCCCGGGCCTGTTCCCAGGGCCGAGAACTGCCCTCCTTCCTGGCTCCTGGGCCTCCGCACACTCCTGGGGCAGTGGAGCCCCGACTGCAGGCTCAGAAGCCCAGCGAGCTATGAGTGGCGGACAGTGGAACAGGGAAGAGGGTATGTGGTGCCAGGTTTGGTCTTGGTAACGTCAGGGGTTGGACTAGCCACGTGACTCCAAGGAGGCGGAGACAGGCGAGCTGGAGGGAGGACCGGCAGGCGCGGGAGGGGTGGGGGTGCCGATCTGAATACTCGAGGAGCTGTTCAGCAGCAGCGGCTGCCTCTTGCTTTCCTTCGCCGCAGCCCTCCCCACGGCGCCCCCAGTCAAAGAGACAGCCCCGCTCAGTGACAGCGACCGCCAGCCCCAGCCTCGGCCGCCAGTCCGTCGGCTCCAGTCCTCTGGTGAGTGACTGCCCCCTTCGTCACAGCCTGTCCCCCCTCCATGACCCCCGCGCCGCATCTGGGTCCTCGAGACTGGGATGAACCGGGGAACGGGAGCCACCGAGAGAGGGGAACAGGAACATGGCGCGGAGGCTTCGGGCTCCCTCCGGGAAGGGGTTCCCTGCCAGGAGGATGGAGCTGGGTCGGGGTGTCTCTGGCTGGCCAGGAACTCGGCCGGGTTAGAGCCCGCGGTCCGGGGGGCGCCGGGCTCGAATTCGCGGGAGCTGCCCGGAGGGGCGGGGGCAAGAGCAGTTGGGGCGGCGGGGCAGGGGGAAAGGGGCGAGCTGGGCTCAGCGTCTGGGCCGCCCGGGTCCGGGCAGAGGCTGGGCCCGTCCTTTCCTCCCTGCCTGGGCGCGCAGCCGGCTCGGCCCGCTTGGCTCGCGGGCCCGGACCGAGACTATGGAAAGGAAGAGACGCTCTTCTGGCCGCAGCCGGAGAAGAGGGCGGGTGCAACGTCTGCCCTTTTACCTGAGAGCAAACTCTTCAAAGGGACTGACTCCTGCTGAGCCTGGCGGCCGGTGAGGCTGGTGCGCTGCCTGGGCATCTGTCCCCGGAGACCCGTGACAAGCCTGGGACGGCGAGGAGGACGTGACGGGAGAAATGTCCGGGGAAGCTCCCCGCCCAGAGCGGGCAGCCCGGGGCGAGGACTTTCTCCCGCACTGCCCCACCCCTCCAGACTCCTTTCATCCCCCACCCCAAAGCACGTCAGTCGCCCACGAATCCAGAAGGCTGGAGCAGCGCAGCCTGGCCCCGAACCTCCTTCCCTTTTCTGAGTCACTCCCTCTATGTACATTTTATGTTGCTACTGAAGAGTGGCAGGGTTTTTGCCTGTTCTTGGCACTCCTCATCCTCCTACCTGTGCGAAGCTCAGGTTCATTGAGTTGTTCTTGAACCCGCTCTGGGAAGGGTGGCGGGGGCAGTCTCTGACTGGAGTTGGGCAAGGGCCAGCCGCGATCTGACTCCTCGGGGATCTGGGGTCGGGGAGAGCGCCCGGGAGCCCACGTGGGATAGGCGCCGTCCGTGGTGCTGAAAGTTGTCGGTGGCACACCGCGGGCCAGCATCCTCTGCAGAAAGGAACTGTGTCAATCACAGAAAGACGCTCTAGTGTTTAACCAGAAAGCAGGTAAAGGTTCTCTGCCTTTCGGTTTTCTGCCTTACCCTGTACTCTGCTTGGGAGGTTCCAGGCACTTCTGGATGCAAAAGCAAGGAGGATCCAGCTTGCTAACTTCTGGTGGTGTCTCATTCTTTCTCTTCTGCCTGTGCGTGAGTCTGCCTGTTGGTAACGTGTTGTAAACGCAGTTAAGGATGCTGTTTTGATAAACATCTCTGTGGGTTTCAGGAACCAGAGAATTATAAGGCTACAAAAAAAGGAAGATACTTCATTAACTGGGATTTTCTGTTTCAGGTTATGGCTTTTTCTCTCTCTCTCCTCTGCATCATTCTCTCCCTTCCACACGTTGTTTACATCGTCTAGACACAGATTTTTAAGCAGCCCTGTGTGTTGTCTTTTTAACCAGTCTCTAATATATGAGACAGGAAAGAAAGTAAGCCAATTTGGGGAGACCAAGTTAAGAGAATATTTACTGAACATGTACTGTCTGCTAGGAATTATTATTTCATTTAAACTTCACAATAGCTACTAACTATAAATATCACATATATAATGAAATTAAGAATCCTGGATCCAGAGGCTGAATTCTAATTCAAGTCTGCTTACCTCTAAAGTCCAAGCCATTTTCACACACACACACCCTTTTTATTTTGGTACCGGGGATCGAACTCCGGACCTTGCACTTGCAAGGCAGGCAGAGGCACCACTGAGCTAAACCCCCAGCCCCCCCTTATTTTGATATTTACCTTTCAATAGCTTGTAGGAGAATGTAGCAAAAGAATGACATAGGAACTTGCTTTTTTCTTTCACACTGTTCTCTCTTTCAACCCTTTCCTCTTTAATCTGTTCCCCCACCATCACACACTGCCAGTTTCCTAACTATTTTGATGCATGCTGCTTGTGATACCACCATTCACACAATTTGAGCTCTGGGATTATAGGAACAAGCTAAGGGACTAAACCAACATTCTTTCCTGAAAGAACAAAAAAATACGTAGTCTTGAAGGCCAGAGTCTGTCTACATGTGCTTTCCTATCTAGAGTTATATTATTGAGTTTAGAGCTAGAATGATATTAAAGATCCATTCAACTCCATTATGTTACAAAAAGTAGAGATTGGAAACCCAAAGATGATCATTTTTCACATGAGTTAAAAAGGTGATATTTAAATCCAGTTAACTTGCCTCCAGAGCCAATGCCCTTCCTACTACTTCACTATGCCTGAAATATTCTTCCAGGCTGCATTCTTTCATTACCTTTAAGAATGTCAGTATCACTGATGTACATTCATAATATACCACAAACATAAAACAAGAGCAGTGCTCTTAGGCACTTTTTCCTTCCTGTTCTTTTCTCTCTGGTTCCATCAGTCTAGTGTTGTCTGACTCAACATATCTGAGAGATATGACCAAACTTCCTCAGTAACAGTTTCTCTATGACAGCAATTCACAAATAAGGACAGTATTGTGACATTTCTCAGCTTACCCTTATGTTGTCTATCTTTCCTCTTCTATGAGTTATTCCTTTAAAAATAACTTCCCCAAAATTGATTAAGTACCTTCCCATACACTCCTAGTGACTAAAAAGATGTAGACATGAATAAAGATCATCATATGTGCTAATATCTATAAAATGCTTACTTGTGGTAGGCACTATATTAAGTCCTGTCTTCCTTCAGTTCATGCAATCTTCCTGATTATTTCAAGTTGGTATCTTCATTAGAGATGGTCCTAGAGATACAAGTCACTCTAACATACAGCAGAGCCTGATGTGCTATTCATTTCTTCTTGATTTTCTTTCCAGCCCAGGGTAATATTTCATCTTCAATAATTGGATTTCTGTAGCCCTAGTAATTGTGTTGGCAAAGATGATATTTTATATTGAATTGATAGTTCTGCACTGCTCCATGCTTAAGGTTTAAAAACTCACATGGCACAGTATAGCTCTTTGCCTTAGTATTTAACACAACATATTCTTCCCATTTATTATCCTTTCCTTAAAAATTCCCATATGCCTTCTTATTGATAATGCCAGTACTCTACCTCAACCCCACCTCTGGAACAATTAAGTTATAACTCATAATTAATTATATAACTTCTATTGTATCCTCACTATGTGATCTGCAAAGGTGCTATTGCTGGAGTGCTCTGGACCCCCTGTACCAGAATCTTAAATGAGCTAGAATTCTTCTGTCCAATATGGTAACCACTAGTCACATACAGCTATTTAAATTTAAATTACCTGAAAGTTTAAAAATTTCAATTAGCTAAGATTTTAAAAATTTAGTACCTCAATCACACTAACTGTAATTCAAATGTTCAATAACCATATGTGGCTAATGGCTACTTATTGGTTAGTTTAGACATAGAAAATTTCCATCACAGAAAGTTCTATTAGACATGCTAGAAACATTTTACATCAGCCAAGAACTAAGTATTAGGAAGAATTTAAGGACCTGAGACTTTGCTTTAAAGCTTCTGCCAAGAAAGGAGAAAAGGCTACTTGTGCCTAGTACTTCTCCAGCAACTAAAGATGTCCACACCAATTTAGATAGCAAAAAGAGCACATGTCTCACTTAATGAACTGGTAGCCACTGGGCTCATTCTGTGTGGATTCCATTTTACCATAGAGTGCAATGTTTCCTGAATGGAGTTTGCTAGTTTCCTGAATTCCAACTTGGAAATGACCTGAAAGTTCTTACCCAGAATTCAAGTTCATACATCACATAGTAATGTGTGTGTGCACGCATGCACCTGGGTGTGTGTGTGTGTGCACTCATGTGCGTATCTTGTCTCAGTAAGCAGAGTATGAAAATATAAAGATAATACAAAAATTGTGATCAGTAATAAGTATTAGAGCTCCATTCCTTCATCTGTAAAATATTGATGAGAATTGCCGTAACTATCTTGAAGAGCTATTGTGAGACTTAGAATGTAGGTATATAGAAGTACTTTGTAAAAGGCATGATGGAACTTGCAATTATTGATCATTTCATTTGGTCAAAATAAAAAATAGGGTAGTTTAACACTCTTTCCAAGTGTGCTTAGTCTTTGATATGAATGTGTTTTGCCTTTATTGTCATTCATTTCACTAAAAAGTGGAACTTCTTTTGGTATTGGCCATTGAACCAAGGGCCCTTGCACTGAGCTACATTCCAGCCCTTTTTTATTTTTAATTTTGTTTTTGTTTTTGTTTTTTGGTACCGGGGATCGAACTCAGGTCCTTGAGCTTGAGCAACAGGCGGCAAAACCACTGAGCTAAATCCCCAGCCCTTTTATTTTTAATTTTAAGACAGGCTCTCACTAAGTCCCAAAATTGCCTAGGCTGGGCTCAAACTTGCAATTCCCCTTCCTCGGTCTCCTTGAGTGCTGGAATTATAGGTATATACCACCACACCCAGCAGAAAAGTAGAATGTTAAATTAAAAATTTTTGATTATTGAGATTTCTAGATAGTTAGGTTCTATTAAACACTGTGTATTGTTTGTGGTTTCAGTTATTTGACCCTAAACAATTCCTTCTCATGATTAAAAAAAAGACTAAGACACATCAGTAATTTGAAATGGTTTTTACCTTTTAACAAATAGTTTTAATTTTTCAGTAATTATCCTGTCATGATAGCAGGAATTCAGAGAGAACAAAAAGAGTATTATGGATATTTCTCAGTATGGGTTAGTGAAAGGAGTAATTTTTTTAAAATTTTCTACTAATTACTAATTGAAATGAGCTTCTACCCATCTAACAAATTAATGTGAAAATATTCTATTTAATGTGTTGATTAACCCAAAATAAAGAAATTTTATTAATTTAACTGAATTGTCAATGTTGCATTAAGAATTCTGGTCTTAAGTAAGAAGTCTTTATAACATCTATTTACTAAGTAAAATCTATTAGGGTCATGAATAATTACACACCTAGCTAACATTTGCTCCCAAACCTGCTGCTTGGTGCCTACTCCTACATCTTGCTCCATATTATTAGGCCTCAAGTAGAAGTGCTTTTCAAATGCAGCCATAGCTTACTTAATGGCTTACCACTTGACACATAAATATTTTTCTCTTATAGTATGTACAGAGCCAAACACAATACTGAGGCATTGAAGAAAATAAGTCTAGAAACAAACCTATTCCATCAGATAATTCTTGTTACTTATTATGATATTCATCTTAAAAACTCAAGTCACTTTATCTATCATGTGTGTATGAATGCATGTATGTATGTATGTACATATTCATTGGCAAAGCATCTGAGTGTGACCAAAGGTATTAGATTCTCTCTGGTTACAGGATCTCTGGAAAGTCATTTCTATTCTTAAGAACTTATGTCTTCACAAATACGTGGGTGGTAACTTGTTAGCTGAGACATGCACTTCATTTCTGATGCTGGTCAAGCATGCCATTCTCAGGCCTTTGTCACATATGGCATTATATTACTGAAGGGGAAATTAGTGAAGCTGTCAACTCTGGCCTCTAGTAGATCAAGCTAGCTTTCATAATAAACATCTTTCATTGGGAGTCATGGTTTATTCACTTGGTGGAACTTGTGTATTTCATAGAAGGCCGGGTTTTGGAAAAAGGGGAAGCCATTGCCTTGGAGCCGTAAAGAGTTTAATTATCTCTGTCTTGTGACTTAATGTATTCCTCTGATTTTATATCCCAAGAAACAAAGAGAATTGACAATGTAGCTTTGACACTCATCCTTATAGCATGCAATCATCTGTTTAATCAATAATGTCATTGAAACTTGTCCTTTATTGGCACAGAAATGCAATGGTCAAGTGTAATTGGAACTCCTGCAACCTGGCACATGGGTGTTCAATGAATATTTATTGAATTTAGACCATTTTTCCAGATCTGTTCATGCCATATGCTTATCTAGCCAACTCTATCAAGAAAGGAGTATTCCTCGTGGTGCTTTCTGGTAACAAATAAAAGAGTAGACAAACATACAGCATTAAATCTTTTGCTGACAACCCCATTCTTAGCCCCTCTTGGGGCATAAGCAGTGATGGCCAAGATAGATTGCTCCTGAGAATTATGTCTTGCTGCCTCCTTCAGAGAACAAGAGATAATTCACCCCCAGGGTCTTGAATTTCACTGATTATGCAGTCATAAACTCAAAGCTTAAGGGGCTTTGTGTCTCATTCTCCACTTTTACTTTAAAGAAATACTTGGCATTTTCTTGAGAGAGTATTTGGTCAGCCTTCATGTTAGTGGCAGGAATTGTTATTGTTCCTAAATTCAGAAAAAGCATACATTAGGATGAAAGCACACACATTAATTAGAGGGCTAATGAAAGTTTGATGGGTCACAGAATACTGTCCTTTTTCAGAAATAAATAAGCCTCTTTTTCAGTGTTCTGGTGATTACTGACAAAAATGAAAGAAAAACAGATCAT